AAGGGGGTCTGAATACTTTCCGTACCCACTGTACATGCAAACTGACATCTGTGACAGTTGCATCGCAACTATTTTTAAAATGTTTTCCGCCATGGGTGCATTTTTAAGATGCTTGGAAACTTCTCGAAACCTCTGTGTTCTGTTCCATTTATGTGGTGCTCTGTCTAGTTGTTTTTGAATGCAAGAACACATCCTGTATGAATGTTTCCTCACTCACTCTGTGCTGCCTGCTCTCTATAAGTGTGGTTTGAGGTGTGTGGCTTTTAGTAGCAGATGGGACTGGAGGTTGTTAATTCATGGATTATGTTATTTTTTTAATGTTACGAGAAAATATATGGATGTTGTATAGGACCAAAACTGCAGCCTTGAGGAGCAGAAACACTCAGGATTAATTGTTTGTGTATGTAGGTATTTCATAATTTGTCTTGGGGTTATAAACTTGCCGTGAGAGTGTGACAGAGACTGTTGGTTTGGTTTTTGAGGACATTCGGACAAGGTGAAGGACTGTGCGTACTGGAATCCATCCCCCAGTGCAGTCACTGTTGCTCTGCAGGTGCACTCTCTCCACACACACACACACACACACTTCTAGCTTGGCACACATCCAAGAGTTTAGGATGCACAGGGCACATAGGATTCAACCGAAAGCTTCTCAGAAGTGTGATAAGATGTATAAAGGGGTGGGTTGAACAGCGAAAAGGGGAAGATAAGGGGAGATGGTGAGTCACAGCAGCGCTATCAGAATGGGATCGATGAGATGTTTAAATATAGCAGGATTGCATGATTTATTCAGAGGGTCCTTTTCCCCTGATACCTATGGGATTCAAACCTTGATGTACCAGCTGTTAATCTTGAGGTACCTCACGATTCAGCTGGATTTTGATTCATAGTGGCATGAGACAATTGTCCAAGGGTTCTTGATGTATCTCTTTTTTTTTTTTCAACAGCATAGGGATGCAAGCCTTCTTGAGTTAAGGTGCCAAATTCATTATTAAAGATCTTATACAAGATCTTCTGCTTTTGTGTAATGTTAATGGAATGCTAGACCAGAGCAATTTTAGACTGATATCTAAGAGTGTTCATTTTCTTTAAATTAAATAAAGCTGAAATAATATAAAATACAAATATTAGATCTTAAACTGAAAAGCTTAAAGAAAAACTTGAAATGCTTCCTTGGCAACTAACTAAAATAAAATTTGAGGTTGAAGTTGAACCTCTAAAGTTGAAGAATTAAAATTACAAACCTAAAACAACAACAACTTATTATTATTATTATTATTATTATTATTATTATTATTATTATTCAAAGGTAATTATAAATCGAAAATAATAATTTTAAAAAATGACAAAAGCACATAACAAAATGTCTGGAATCTGGATTGTCTGGATCAATCTAGACATTTTTTTGAAAAATAATTACAATGTATCAGTGTATGGATTTATCCAGGTGGATCATTGTTCTTGCACCACATGACATTTTTTCTGTTTTTAAAATTTTTTTTAAATACATGAGGCAATATTTTCATATGTA